TATACGTCCACGCATTCGAAGTAAGTCAACGAGTGAATTCTGGTCCTTCACCCCGGGCGCCGTTGCAACCCCTGCCCATTTTGGCAAAATGCTGGAATCTATCTCATCAGAATTTGTCTTTGGATTTCCCGCGGATCCAAACAAGAATACCGGTATTCTCGTATTGGTCGAAATATTTTGTAAAATGGTACACCTGGTCGCTGTGCCTAAATCTAATAATGCATCGGCTTGTTCTCGTGTTTTTATCTACACGACCTTTCGTCTTCATTGATTGCCTCGTGAACTCGTCTCTGAGTGAGACCCACAATTTACTACTGATTTCTGACGATCCGTGTTCAAAAACACTCGGAACGCGCCTACAGATGTCGATTTCTAACCACCCTGAAAAAGTTGGTCAGACAGAATGTTCCAACCGATTTCCAGAAAAACTACTATGAGGTTATGTTTTTTCTCTAAGTAATTAGAGCGAATTATTGCCGATGTCACAATAACTCGGTGCATGCGTCGACGACATATGCACCGACGTACGTGAATGGATTGCTTTATCCACGCTCACATACCCTTTTAGAGTGTAAACCTATCATAAAAGGGTAGGACTCGTTCTAGCAAAGGCCAAATCAGCTCTCACTCATCACGTACTGACCACGTGTTCACTACATTTGACGCCGATGTCGATGACATCGACTTCAGTGAAGAAGAGTAAAGTAAGAGAGAGAATGCTTTTATGTGATCTTGCCGCAGTATGCTCCAAACGCATCGTAGCCCAAGACAGCGAACAAGCAGATAAATTCGTACTGGCTTGCGAAACGGGTGTCCTTTTCCTGCAAGATTCCTTGCAGAAGCAGTGGACCGACAAACGAAAAATGCTGACAAGATCGGAAAGGATAATTTCTTTTATTCGATGAAGGTGACCTAGTCCGAATATCTACAGTTGGACCTACCTCGACGCATCAGAATAACGTGAGAAGTAACAAGACACTACCCAATTTTTACCGGTCGTTTCCGTGTGCTGCGCCGCTTAGGCAACGAATGCACGATTGAACTGCCACGTAAGATGCGCACGCAACTGATGTTCAACGTCGGCCGCCTTAGGCCGAATCACCGGCGCGTGCCTTCTTCCGGGTAGCAAATCGCTTGTGCTCAAGCATCTCCAAGAGATACTTTTGCTTGCGGTGCTGACAATCAGCCCGTGTCTGAAGTTCGGATACCTCATCTTAAAACCAAGAGATTTCCTGACGAGCTTCTGTGGTGGAGTGGGGTTCAATCATTTTTTAAGTTGATCCCGACTCTCCACTGGCGCCCATACGACCGACTAACGGAGGGGTACTCCGATTCCGCTTGCACTTGTTTCCTCCTCACCTTCTGTACCCGTCGGCAGGGCGGGTTGCACTCTTTTAGGTGGACTCGACGAGATGCTAAACTTGACCGTTGTAGAGATTGGTGCTGATCGGGTGGAAAATCCTCACCCGATCGCGTGTTCTGGGTTGGCGCTCTCCTAGAGTCGCCGTGATCTGCCCTGATCACCTTGTGCCAAAATGTGTACTTGAGTCGCGAGCCTTTCTGGCCACTTAAGCCGTCTCACGATCTTGTACTTCAAACGATAAGGTTGGCTGCGTCCGATCGCAGTAGGGGTGTGTTGAGAGTCCTAGCACTCCTGGCCAAATAGCTCCAGGAGTGATCGTTCTATCCTTGATGTCGAGATTCTCAGACGTCGGGAGGCCTTAGTATCCAGCCCGAGAGAAGATCGACACGAATGTGTTTAGAAGCAAATTGAATTCTGTTTAATGTTAACCAATTATCCCTCACACCTTACCCCTATAACTCGGATAATTAGATGCCACGCTTCGCCTCTACAAATCGCCCCTTGTTTACATGTGGCACACACCTGACACACCAACCACCTGATCGCATCAGGGCATGGTCCACGCCAATTCGCGGTCCCTTGATCGCGGCCCCTGGTCACGGCCCCCTGATCGCAGTTCCTGATCGCGGTCCCCTGATCGCGGTCCCTAGATCGCGGTCCCTTTCGCCGTTCTGAACCGTTCTGACCCGTTCTGACCGGATGAGATATTTCCGTGAATAATCCCAACGGTGCCATCCATATGACTGGTCCTCGTCCCACGATCATTCCGCCGGTCCCCACTCCGTACTTAGGCATACCTTTACGGTTTTACGACACCGACATCGATCGACCTTACCACACTTCCACTAGCTCGTCACGAAAAGAAAGCTTTATCCGTTCATTCTTAAGATGGCCAAAAGCAAAATTTTAATGATCCCTCTACCGTTCCGAGAAGAGACGGTTCACCTTTAAAACCAGACTCAGACGCCTGTCTCTCGTGCTTGAGGTCCTTGTGCAACTTACACGTTACGCACTCAAGCTGACTAATAGTTTCAGACTGGAACTGCAAATCCATTAAAAAAACCTCCTCCATCTCATCCATTGATTGATGCGCGCGGTGGACAACGCTTCCTTGTATAGAGCTTGTAAAAACACCGCGGTGTGAAGGTACATTAGACATATTAGCTCGTCCGGTGGCGCGGGTATTCATCCTCGGCATATAGTTGGTAGTCTCGCTCTCAACTGCTGTTTCATGTCTTGGACTTGTCGAGCAGTATAACAAGACGCATACAATACCAAAGAAGGCACATCGGGGAACAAACGCCCAGCGCGCTTGTAGAAAAATCGCAAATAACACATTATCGTACATCTTTCGAGTAACACGTACCCTTCTCCAGAGTTCAGTCATCCATTAGGCTTCTTATGGAGCTCATGTCAATTAATTAACACGAAATTGTCTTGTATCACCCCAAGAAAGGCATGGTACCCCAGCCTTTCTAAATAACTGATGCAGCGTGAAATGTGCACCGGTAAAGATTTGCCTCTTATAACGATTTTGAGCCAGCACTAGCATGTATATCCAGGCATCACGGCAAATATCGCCAACGTTCTGGGTGAAAGCGTTTCTCGCTTAAATAACGAAGGTCATCACGCTTGTGATTCCCACTGTACCATCAATTAAAAAAAAGCAAATCGATAAAAGTTTCATGTTTAGTGCAATGGTTACTCGCACTAGTATTAAGCTTATGAAGGTTTGATTAATTGAAAAATCTTATTTGATTATGATCACTCGTCGTGTCATGCAGACGAGCCAACAATATCTGAGGGGTTAGCCACGGCTTCTTCTTTAAATAATAGCACAAGATGTTGTAATTTACAGTGTCTTGTATGGCGTCAATAGAAGTATCGACACCAGTATCATCCCGATTACCCGGACTCTGATGCATGATTACATCAACGTCTAGATCGTTTCGGTGGCCTCTCTTACTTTAGCCGAACGACTTCATCTCGGAGACGGAGGATCTGATTCGCCGGACGATCCAAATATGTCACGACAATCAGCAAGTCTCAGAGCGCATTTAAAGACGATTATTCTGCTCCGGTTCAATTGTTCCGAGTTCATACTTGTCCTTAGCCTCCTTCGAGTAGGACTCACCTTCAAACTTGCCAGAGTGTACGAACTCGAGCTTATAATCTCCAATATTGCGCGGTGCGTCTCCACGTGCGGCTGCAGCAGACGAACCTACGTCAGCTGCTTCGAGAGATCCTGTCTAGTATGCGGCAGTGGAGTGGAGTTTCACAGCTGCGATACTAGTAGCTTTGGCTTCACACGGCATGGACTTGTTAACCATGCGATGAGAACGAACAATGGAAGTGTGATATACACTGACTACAGTCGTTCATGACATCGCGTATTCTGTTTGCAAGTTTTAATTGAACAGAAAAAAAAGTTTATATGAAAAGTATGCACTACACAGATTTTGCAGGTTTAAGGCAAGCAGGCAGTGTAACGGGGCACTCTTTGTTTGGGGTGCCACAAAACTTCACGAACACCAGTACGTGCAGAGGAAGCTAATCTACTCAACAGCTATGTTGAGTAAAGGGTAAAAAGAGAACTGTATTTGATATAGTGAAGCTATCAATGTAACTTTAAATTTTGTCTAACTATATTAAACTACGTCGTCGTATGACGACAACCTGCTCACCACTTATTGCGCACGTTAAGCGGCGATTGGTGGTAAAATATGGTTGATATGTCTTTTATCAACCAATCTTTGAGCAGCGAATAAATATTATCCTAGACGGGGATAATTTTCCTTCAATATTATCCATCTCGGATAATATTGGTAGGGAATTGTCATGCTAGACAATTTCCCTATTGACACCTTTTGGTGTCAAAATCATGTAATGGGCTACCCCGTTACAGACAGAACGACAATACACATAATTTACTAGCAAAACTATGTTCAACAAGTGTGAAAACAACATACACCTCCTTTTTCGTAGCAAAAGCATTACCACTATAAAGGGACCATGATGGGAGGCAAGTGCATCTACTACATCATCAAGGCCGAGAAGGTGGTATCCGTGGCAATCGTTCATGTGACAAGAACGCTTGTCGCCTTTACGATGCCTCTTTGCACCGGCCCTCTCACTCGACCTGTTTTTGACAGCAAAACTACAGTCGTGGTTTGAAATAGTTCAACAAGACCATTGTTTCCATAGCGTCATTACTAACTCGACACTGACTATGTTTCCATGCACGGCGCGACATCGAGTCAATGAACACTTTGTGTGCCACGATCATACTTTTTACCATCGGTCCTCTCAAAGTCGATATTGGTCGCAATCGGTCCTTTCAAAGTCAATATCGTTTGCAATCGGTCCTACCTCGAATGTCGTCCCAATTGATCGAGCACTAACAACAACGCCGTCCCCCCACAGTTTTCAAGCGAGACTTTCGGCCCGGCCAACCCGTCTTTTCACCCAATCACATGATCCACATCGCCAAGACTACCACCCCCGATGACTCGTTCTCTCCCCATTTTACCGGTATTCCTCCTCATCACACCACAAGATCGCAGGTCGTGCGACCACCGAGCGAAGAATTGACCAATCAGCAGAGCCAACGTTCCCGCGAAAAGGGAAGAGATCAACCATGGCCCGGATGATGCCTGACGCGGTGGCTTGGACCTCCAGCGGCAACGCCAAGCTCCACCTGCACGACGTCGAGCCTCCCGCTGCTTCCTCTGCTGCTGCTGCTCACGCCCGTGCCAATTGGGAGCCCTACGACTTTAACGGGGGCACGGTATTGGCGATTGCAGGCACGGATTTCGTCGTCGTGGCTGGGGATACGCGCTTGAGCACGGGGTACTCGGTCCTGAGCCGCAACGAGAGCAAACTGCACGCCCTGACGGCCACGACCGTGCTGGGCTCTCCCGGCTCGTACAATGACGTGCTCCAGCTGCGGGGCGTGCTGGATATTCGGGCCCAAATGTACGAGCACGACAACAAGACGGCTATGACCTTGAGCGCCGTGGCGCAGCTGCTCATGAACACGCTCTACTCGCGCCGCTTCTTCCCGTACTATGCCTTTTGCATCTTGTGTGGCATTGACGACGATGGCAAGGGCGTCGTCTATACGTACGACGCGATTGGCTCGTACGACAAAGTCACTCGAGCCGCGCAGGGATCCGGTGGGCACTTGATGATCCCGTTGCTGGATAACCTCGTGGAGCACGACACGCGGTCGGACCCGAAGAAGGAGCTCACGCTGCAGGAGACCAAGGACATTATCAAGGACGCGTTCATTACTGCTGGCGAAGTGCGTGGCCAGTGACGAGAGAAGTGACGCCGCTGCCGCGTGCGCGTATGGATGACGACTGACGCTTTGTGTCTCTATTTTATGACTGCTGTTTTGTGATTGTGGCTATAGAGAGATATTTACACGGGCGACAGCGTGGAGATCTGGACGATCAAGGCGTCGGGCATTGACAGCGAGACGTTTGCGCTCAAGAAAGACTAGGGAGAGACAGCGTGGTGGACAAGCAGCACAATGGTATTCAAGAAGACGTGCGTCATGGCTCTGACATCCCGCCTAACATGGTAGAGCACTCGCTCGAACATCATGAATCTACGACTGAACTTTGACGTCAGTGTCAGTCATCTCTCCCCCTCTCTCTCTCTCTCAACATCCTTCCCATTCCTACAAACCCCAGCTGTCCTTCCCACCGGTGCTAACTCTCCCGGTTCTTGAGTGCCAATTGCCGCACCTTGCGTTTGTACAGTTCCGGGTCGTTTTTCAAGTCCATGTACGGCTCTCGCTGTGCCGGGTCAGCCATGTTGGGCTGGTCCAGTAGGTCCTGCACGCCCTTGAGGATCTGTTTGATGGTCACACTGGGCTTCCAGTCCTTGTCTTCGTTCAAGATGCTGAGACAGACGGTCCCAGATGGGTACACATTGGGATGGTACAGCGGCGGCGTAAACTTCACAAGCGGCGGCTTGCTCGGATAGTCCTCCGAGAAGCCCAGCGACATTTTAAACACGCCGCCCTCCCAGTCCGTGCCAGCTTTGCCCGGGATCCCTGCGTGCCACATCATGAGATTCAGGGACCCGTCTTCATTGGTGATGGGTCGTGCCCAGAAACCCGCTGGATGGTCCCGCCGCCAGTTCTTGCGCTCTTGTCGTAGACGCTGCGCGGCAATGGAGTCGTCGCTCATGGTGGCCAGTAAGTCGTTTAGCCGACTCGACGACAGCGGTTTCTATGCTGCGCTTTGTATTTGGTTTGGTCCTTTGATGGGGTCGGTCTGTAATTCGTGTACAGCTCGTGTGGAGATGAGATCCACCGTCGAAAGTGCACCGCTTTTGTCTCGTGCTTGCTGATGTTTATTGTGGCTCTGTGCACTTGGCGACATTGTCAATCATGCACACCCTGCCACTATGGCTGGTATTACTACTGAGCAAGTATGAACCAAGAAGGTTGGCGTGGGTTCTCAATTTTCAGCCAATGTTTTATAACCTCCTTGCAGGCGGTCCAAGCGTATTTTGAAGATCACGGTGTGGTTTCTTCAGTATTTCATCCCATCCGTCTGGATACTTGATCCGCACGTGCTGTCTGGCGTGCTACGGCGAACGAAGTAGTTGCTCTAATGCTGCAAGGCAACTTTGAGCTGCTTCTTTGATGACAGCGTTACTGCAGTGAACAGCGAGCTTCTGCTTGAGCGCCACACTGTGCTTTTGGACCTCCTCGGTAAACTTGCTCCGTTCTTCGGCCTTGTCCTCGTCCTTTGCAGCACCAGCAATTGCCTCAAGCATGTTCTGCATCCCGATCAATGCTCGATGCAAAGTCTCGACGTTTGATCCTTCTTCGATGATGGTGGAAAACGCTTCGAGTCCTCCTTGGCGCATTAGGACCCAGCTTACTTGCGGCGCTTGCGACACCATTGCCAGTGCACCGCCAGCAGCTCGGGCTGTCTCAAAATCCTCAGCCTCATCCTCAAGAGATGCGAACGCGACCCAGAGTCGAATCTTCTCTTCTTTCATAAAAATCTGTTCGATTACCGTGTCGTTTGGAAGCAAGTTGCATATCGCTTCTGTGGCCGCCCGACGAACCAGCTCGTGCTCCGAGAACTGTAGGTACTGCAACGTAGAGAGCCCCTGCGGCTCACCCACAATGCGCGCTTTGGTATCTTGTGACACACTCGCAACATTTGTGAGAGCCATGAGTGCCTCGAACTGCAACAATTGCTGATCGCCCTTACACAGGTCTAACAGCGGCCGAATGGATGAAAATAGAGAGGACGACGGAACCAGGTTCGGGTTCGTGCTGATCAATATTTTCGCCATCGCCTGTCCCGCAGCATTCGATATATTCGTGCCATGAAGCTGCGCAGGGCTCTTGGAGGCTTTGCCACCTTTGCTCCTCGCCATCGCAATATGGTGCAACGCCAACGGGACCAGTGCCTGGAAGACGCCGCACTGCACCAGGTTACCCCTCACCGAGGGTACTTCTGCAGCATGCAGCGCACTGAGCGTCGCCATTTCCATAATATTTTCTGACTTGGTCGCGGACAGCTTCAAAAGCTGCACAAGTGTGGTCAACACATCGCGGGAAGCAGCAAGCCGAGTCACACGCGCCTCCACGTGCTCAGGCGTATCACCGTCCTCGAGCACAGACTTCTGCTTCAGTGCCTTTTGTAGCTCTTCGTATTGGTTAGCCGTCATCTCCATACCCTCCATCTGCTTCCGCTTGATTGCAGCCTCGGACGTCAAAACGTGGTGCAAGATGTACCCGATGCCATAGTACACGTTCGACCTAAAGCCGGCGCTTGTTTGCACTGTAGTGCTCGAGTCCTTTGTGCTTGGAAACTCGACTTTAAATACGCTAGCCACAGCCCCTTTGTGTCGCACAAACGCATCCTTTACAAAGGTATACGTGATCAGGTACGACAGCGCCTCAATGCCTCGCTCCCTGGGAGAGACGCCACTCCAATACAATAGCGATCTTGACAACTGCTTCGTTGTTTTTTCCTTACCCTCGTTTGCCTTTTCAGCCTCCCTGTGTTTACTTTCCATGATTTCCGCGCTCGCGAGCACTTCAAACACATTGTCCATGAGAAACTGTCCGTCCCCAGATGGCATCTCCAGTGTCTTCTCAACGATACCGAGTTTCACCTGAATACTCAAGGCGCTGGCGCGGAGCATCAAATCGCTTTCTTCATCCAGCGACGCCTGTAGCATGCGGTAGATTTCAATTCTCAGTGCAGGCGGGACACAGGCAGGACCGTGCTCGACTCCGCAGATGCTGGCTACACAGTCAACCCAAATTTCTTGCAATTGTCTGGTATACGCCTTCTTGTCGTCAAACGTTCGCGACGCTGCCAAGAACTCGTGCAGCCGCGTAAGGAATGCCGTACCATCATTTCCAGTTTGCTGTACAGCCCACAGTGCAAGCTTCGCGTTTGAAAGGAATAGAGCTGACAGAAGTAGACAGGAAGCAGAGCCTTGAGCAAGCTGGACACGATTCGTGGGCCGCGTTGCGAGGACCGGAGACACGCACCAGTCTCGTACTATCTTCTTCAGCATTGTATCGTCATCCTCAAAATGCGAAAGGCATTGCGTGAATACGAGCGGAAGGCGGTTCAGTAGCACTGCCGTGAGCTCTGAAGTCGACTCCCCAGCAGTATTGACGTTAGTATCAAACCCAGGCAAAGCACTGGATCCAGTAGCATGCAATAGCGGAAACAACCCAAGCTCCTGAGCAAGCGATGCAAACCGTGCCTTTGCTCCACTATCGTCACCATCAGCTTGATTCAAAAGCTGACCACTCAACACAGAGATGAAGTGAAGCAGACCGTCCAGCGCTGCAATCTGCAGCTCGCGTTCCCGACTGCGTAACCCATCGAGTAACCCATCGAGCACTCGACGTACACACACATCCTCGTCTCCTGGCTTGGCTTCAAGAAGTAGATACTTGAACATAAACGCTGCTAGGCGAATAATCACCTTACGTCCTTGAACCGAGACCATCTGCTTCGCCTCGCTAGAGTCCTTTGCAGCATACTCTAACGCCACCTGACCACGGAGCAGCTCCATCAGCATGTTCAGTGCACCATGATTGGTCAGAAGCGTCTGTCCTGCCAACGCCATCGATGCCGACGCGACAATCGACAGCAGCGACACCACGTGCGTCAAGATACTCGACACCTTGCCTCCCTTGCTCTTGTCCTCTTTCATCTCCTCTACAAGTGTTTTCAAAGCTCTCCAGAGCACTCCCAGTCCTTGTCTCTTGACAATCTCTTCCGGTAAACTCGTGAGTTCGGCCAAACTCTTGGATTCCAGATACTGCAGCGCTTCCACTGCCTTCTCGCGCGTCTGCAGACGTCCGTCTTGCAATCCCGTCTCTCCAACTACCGCTCGAGCTCCATGCACGCCTATTTCAATTGTATCCAGAGCTTTCTGCACACCATGAACGTCTTCCTGCACTTTCTCTTGGATCGTCCGAGCCAATGAAATCGCCGCTCTGTTCGTCGGCGTCTGCCGCAGTACCCAATGAACGTCCTGGAACGCTTGCGACATGTTGCCCAGTCCCAAATGCGCTTGAGCGCGACGATATCGGGCTTTAGTGTTGTCTCGATCGAGTTCCAGCGCTAGGGTACAGTCTTTTTCGGCCTGTATAAAGTCCTGGAGGTGCAAGTAACAGGCGGCGCGGTTACTGTAGAGGATCACACGCTGCGTGTGAGCGTGTTTCAAGGCATCACCTGCAACGTCAGACGTCAGCGGAGCAGCTGCGAGTGCGTCCGTGTACTTGTCGATGGCCGCTTGGAAGTCCTGGGCCTTGAAACACGCGTTGCCTTCAGCTCGTAAGGTCTCCATGATCGAGACGGCGTGAAACTTTGGTGGGGTTGGGCTTATTTTGGGCTGACTTTGGTACTTTGGGGCACAAACGAAAGATAAGTGAGTTGTCTACGAAAATAGGAGCGAGGGTTGAGGCGTGGACGAATCAGATTTAAGGTGGACGTGGATACGAAAGATAGTGGTGTGTTGGAATTTGAACTGTCGCGATAATTTGCGTACCTTTCGTTTCGTTTTAGTGACTACCTAATCTTTTGATAAATTACCGACATTGCGTGTCACGACACATTAGAGCAACACACAGATCGATACTTTTCCTTCGCGGTCAACATGGGGCCAACAGTACGTTGTTCTCATATCGTCCACGTCTCTCTCTCTGCGTGCCCTTAACCTGACACTGTTTACGGTATGTTATAGATCTGCATGGGTGGTATCTGCATTCCGATATACGCGCTCCTGCCGTTCGTGTTTGTGGCGCTCCAGGGACTGTGGAACTGGTTTCGCAAGAACGTGCTTGGTCAAAACGACGACAAGATTCCTGAGAATGTTTGTGTTTGGACCCATTCCTTTTTATTCATTCTAACAGGTTTCGATATCATACTGACATTTTTGGTCATTCTATTACAGAGTCGCGTGGTCCACGTGACGTCGGCGCAGCAGTTCGAAGAGCTTATCGCCAAGGGCAAGACGACCAAGCGCTGTGTGGTTGTGGACTTTTCAGCTACTTGGTGCGGTCCTTGTCGCTACATTGGCCCAATCTTCCATGAGCTGAGCGCCAAGTACCCACGCACCATTTTTCTAAAAGTGGACGTGGATGAGCTTAAAGCAGTGTCAACAAGCTGTGGCGTGACAGCTATGCCGACGTTTCAGTTTTTCCACAGTGGCGTCAAGTGCGATGAACTGCGCGGCGCAGATAAGGACGCGCTAGAGGTGCGTATCCAGAAGCATTACGTGGAGGTTGAACTGCCCGAGGACGAGAAGCCGGTCGTAGCGGAGACTTCTGTCGCTAGAGAGAAGGCAGCTGATGGTCCCTATCAGCGGAAGTCACAGATGGGGACGGTGACGTCAGAAACGTAATACGAAACAGTTGATTGTTCGCGCCCGCGGATATCTCCGTTGACGCAGCAAATCTGCATGTCGATCAATCAGTGGTAGTGAACACTGTATGTGACACGTACAATATCGACTTCGCGCTGTTGTTCTGAAATCTATTCATATCGATATATTACTCTGACGAGTATCCTGCCAATCAAACGTCTGTTGGCAGCATCAGAAGGGCCGCTTCGGCGATGTTTTCAGACGACGGAGGGTTGACCGTTATTTTCGACTACTGAGATGGCTTCTTCACAGCCCTGGCCTTTTACACGGAAGCAACGACAATTGTCGACAAGACGACACTGTTGCAGAATCAGTCAGTGTATTGGGAAGCAGGATTATAGATGTGTGCGAAGAGGCGCTCCCGGAGTTGCTTTTGATAAATTACTCGCTCGATCCGTGATAGCCACGTGTGCACAGCATAAAATGTGCTTAGAAGAGAGAAAAAAGAAAGAAAGAACGCGAACGATGTTCAATACTTGACGAATTCGAATGTGCGGATGAAAGGGAGCTAAATGATGACAGACGGTGGAGATCTCGAGGTAGAGTTTACATATTGGCTGGCGATTCAGCGTTTTTCTCGTGCATGAACTTTATCGTTGCGTCTTCATGATAGAGCAGTAACACATCTTCGGTTCAGAATCTGGATCTTGAGTCGGCAAAGCACGAAGGTAGAATCGACTGCAAAAAATGACTCGACGATTAGTAGCATGTTAGCATCCGTTTATGCCTGATTACGGTCGCTGAAACTGCGATCCACATTTGCGATAGGCATATCATAAGCTGAGAGACTTCACGACCCGCTTTTGTCGGTGAAGCACAGGACGGGGTACAGAGAGCAATGGTAGTCGTCCTGGAAGAGACGCCTCTTTCCGACAGGAAGCGGATGTATACACTCGGGATCGGTCGAAGGTGGAGGCGTGGGCTATCGGAAGCGATCGCATTCGATTGACTTTTCTACTGGCATCGACGAATGCCTTCCTTTTGCTTTCGGGTATTCTGCAGTGACAAGGTGGTGGATGGGCTCATCAGGAGTTTACCGTAAGCCTGGTCAGACGCGACACGGCTACGTGCTGCTGACCCTTGCTGCCCTGTGCAAATGCATCTACATGGATATGACGCTCGTGTCATACAATGGTGTCTCTAAGTCGGGCCAGCTATACTCTTGTTACATGCACGTTTTTTATATTCGAAAATGTCATGGAGATTCATGCAGATGGCCACGTCGGTTTCTATCCCGTTTGCACCCACGTATCGCAGAAGATGATCGAAGTGTAGGGCTAAATGCGTCAGTTTTTTGCACCAAGGGAGGTCTGTAATTTACGACCTTACGGCTGTAGGTCTTCGAACCAAAGGTATGTGACACATTTGCGATTCAATTGACAGCAAGACTTTGCATCCCGATTGGCTCTTTGTTTATGGCAAGTATTATATCTTGCAGCCTCGGCTCTGGTGGGACGTAAACAATGCTAACGACTTGCTGACAACGAATCGTTTCTTTTTTTCGTCAGGGATGACACACTCGATCGCTTTCTGCTCGATGCATTGCGTACGAGACACTGCATTACAGGCCCAATGTGCACATTACGACGAGTGTCATTAGCTCCCTGCTGTAGGCGGTGTGGTAAGATCTGAAAAGCACAACAATCATTTACACAACATACAGAACCGTAACAGTCCAATACGCTCTACTGTAAGATGACGGCAGCCGCACAATGTCTGGCTAATCCCGTGCTCCTCTCTGAGCTGCGAGGTCATTACAAATACCACTATCTTTGCCTTCTTTAGCACGCTCGTCTCGATAACTCCAGGTTTGGGCATTTTACGCATATACGGCAGCATATCGACGCTTTCTTTGCAGTCGGTACTGCTGTCAGCAAAGGAATAACTCGTTAGTTATTATCTCCTGGTAGCGGCTCTCTTGCGATGCAGCATTCCAGTGCAGCAAGCTAATGGGTACATTGCTGCTCGGTTCACAAAACAAGGATTTTCCCCTTGCGTGGAACTTTGGCTTCCTCAGCACAGCTGCGCGAGCAACTGCTACCCGAAAGCGTGTGCTAATTGGTCAATAATCGTGATTATGGCTACGATGTCTGCGCAATCGCCTGATGACGGTGATAAGGGCTCCTCGATCGGGACATTTGTTGTTCGTGTTTATTTGTTCTGACAAGAAAGTTATTGTGATTGCAGCCAGTGTGATAGATAGTGGGAAATGTCTCGACTTGGCAATTTTGCACGCGATATGCATTTAGAAAAGTCGCTTCAGTTCCTGCCAAAAACGATTGGGGCGCGACTGTGCCTCTCCCTCGCTCTCATTTTCTGTTTTTAGTCCAGTGCCGCAGGACAGTTTAAGAATAGGGGGAGAGTCACGATTCTACCACACATTAAAGGACACGACGTGCTCGAACCCAACGCGCCCTCCACCCCCTTCGTCCACCTCACAGGCAGCCTAGCAGAGCGCCACCTCACGACCCGATCACCATGCAGCTCCTTCGTCAACTCGTGCTCGTAGCCGTTGTCACGAGTTCCAGCTCAGCCGTTGATGTCCCGGCCGTATCCACGCCGGTCGAAGCATCGCAGCAGCACACTCACTTACGCGGTCTATTGGCCAAGCTCGTCACGTACGAGTCGGCAGTTCCGCCAGTCCGAGAACTGGTGGCTACGTGGGGAGAGGGCGAGGTCGGTGACTCGCGACCGCTCCGCCCTCTCAAAGAGAATATCGTGGGTGGACAGACAGTCGTGGTCTTTCACGACCGCCGTCGGAGCCCCGAGGCCAAGATGGAGTCGGCCGTCGTGGCTTTTGACGTGCGGTCAAGTCCCAACTGCGTCGTGAGCGTGTGCGGGGAGCTGAGCAAGTGGTATTTGGGCTCCAAAGAGCAGTGTTTTGACCTGCGCATTGCGCCGAAATCCACCGACAAGCTGGAAAACGGACTCATTCGGGGCGTTTCGGCCGCCTACTCGAGTCGACGACCCGTGGCATCGAACTTGTACCTGAAGTTTGACGCCACCAACTTCATTGATGGCTCCAAGTGTGAGTACGAGATCCTGTCGGGCAGTAAAACAGTGCGTGAAGAGGAAGTGTCCAGTGGCTCGCAGACCGCGGTGGCATAGGCTTACTACAGTCCTCTTTTTGTCTAAAGAGTTGTACACTAGGATAGACCCAACTAATATTAACTCGAAGCTTTTGTAGCCTCCTCTTCGTTGCGTGTCGTCGCTATGTCCAGGCACGTCGTCCTTGTCTTCAGTCAGTGGGTACAACAGCCGAAACGTGAGGTCGCATGGCTTTTATCCACGTCTGTGAGGGCAGCCAGTGGGTGGGGGTCGCCGACCTCTAGAAGCTAATGCTTCCGTTTCAGCAGCTGTGAACGTGACGTTTGTACTACCAACTGGTGCTAGTTCTTCTATGTGTACGTTACTAACTAATGCGCGACAGTTTTACGTCAGCTCGACATCCGTTGGTCGTCAACTCCGGCCGCCCGGGACTCTATGCCCACATTTCTCGGACCGATATCAGATGCCCAGAGCACTTGAATGACATTACACATTCAAAGCTGCTTGAGAAATCCGAGCTTCACGCAAATGGAAGCGGTGATCGGTCATCTGGTTCGATTTTTGTAGCACGCGTCTCAATCAGAAGCATCATACCACTGCTGAGGCCAGGAGAGGTGGATGACCTACCACTCACTACCAGCCCACACCACGTTCGACTAGATCAATCGCTTATCGAACTTTACTTTGCAACTGTAGAAGTGCGATGCTTGCAGTAATGTCGACGCGTCGTCCGTTACCCATACCCATACCGCGTGGTGGTCCAGAATGGTGGAAAAGATTCATCGCATACTCGATACAGGGACATTTGGCGAAGAAACCACACACATGGGTTTGAGGCTGCAGCGTTTCCCCACATGTGGGGTTTCACCAAATCCATATAACTGCAACATTTTCCACACGTGTCGTTTCACTAAATTGGTTATGACCTGATACGCGACACGTCAACCATCAACAGATGCGATGCACTATGCATATCGCCTGATAAAAGTACTTCGTGCTCTCTAGCTGCAACTATGCTAGACACGCGCATCCGCGGCGTCGTATGTCGTTGCAGCCAACCTCGTTTTTACAGAACGAACTGTGCATTTATTAGTTATCACAAAAATTATGCGGATAATACGTTAGTGTCAGCCGATCGAAATTTAATTTTCCCTCGCGACGTATTTTATTTCTCATACATAAACTTCGGTATCCGATTGAAATAAAATTCAGTGTGAGTGTGTGGATCGTTTGATTTAGACTCGCTGCGGATTCTGATAACGGAATCAGTGCCACTCGTTGTAGAGTCGCGCACTTGACTATTCCTTACGCCGGAGGGACAAATTAAGCAAAGCTAGCAGCTGATGAAAAAGGCGTAAGGAAAAGATGAGGGAGTGCTCGGAGCTATATAAATTGCTACCGATGCTTAAAACATGTTCACTACATGCAACTAAGTAACACACCAGTGCCGTGGCCAATTAGTCAACACTTGCACCGGGTCACCACCCAGCTGATCGAAACAGATTGACTAAACGAGTGAAATGTATTTGATTACGCTGTTGTGGTTGATATGACTAGTTCAATCATTCGTTTTAGATCATCGGAGCGTATATGTGATAGCTATGATAACCTACATTCGCCAAGGGCCTGCAAACACGCTACTCTGGTTATTTTCGTAGTTGTGATTGATTCATGGGCAGCGTAGATATCGTAGTCTCAGTCCACCTGAGTGGTGAAAACGGGGTACAAGCGGGTTTTCAAGCTTATACTGTGGCACAACCAGGCCCAAAGGCGTTCGGGCTTATCCTGCCGCTTCGGGGTCGCGTGGTGCCTAGTATTAGTGTCGCATCTCCACACGTGCCGTCTTGCAAATATTTGTAGAAGGCGTTACTTTCAGCAGATTACACCGAACACAGCATCATTTGTCGCATGAAGGTCGGTCTAGATTGCAAGACAGTATATTTTTATGGGCTAATTATAATGCTGTCTTGCGATCAAGACCAACCTTCACGATAGTACCATTGGGTGGATACGTGCATTACTGAGGTGCATGGCGGTAGGTCTGGTTTGCATTATCTTCACATATTTCGATCCGATTCCGCTCAGCGTCGAATGCTTTTTAAGGGTTTTTGCAAGGTGCGATACATAAACACAATTTTGAAAAAAAGGGTTACAAGGTATTCTGAAATGCAAATTAAAAATTGCGAGCCCGAAGGGTAAAGCTATTAGTGAATGTGCGCAAAGTTGAATACCAAACTTGAAAATCGTACTTATCTGTGCACGTGTCTCTTTTCTTTTTAAGCGGCTGTATTGACTTGGCCTTATGAGTTCTCAGCTATGTACAAAACTAGGGATACAGATATAGGTGCAACGGACGCGTTGAGTAAAGATCAGGTGGCGGTAAAACTTGTGACCGTCACCTGCGGCTCAAAGTGAGCACCCAAAAATGCCACGAAGAATATGGGTGAAAACTAGCTTGCTAACATCACGTGTAGCGAGAAGACGCGGAAATCGACGCAAGACGACCTCATTGGTTCGATCGGTACGTAACACATCGACTATCTGATCAAGAGAGGGAGCTGGTACAGATCCCTTGCGACGAATGGAACTAAGATGATGGGCAGTAAAGGTGGTAAAAAGCCTGAAAACGTGCAGGGTCAGCGAGTAAAGCTGACGGTGCTCGAATATGATGGCGTTACGCTGAATTCAAAGCTGATGGAGCACAATGGCTCGAAATGCGTACCAAATCAATCGTAAGGCTTCAAGGTCAATATCACGGGAACAATTTACCGGGATAGTGGCGGGGTGAACGACATGCGACCACGCCATAGACATAGCGATCAATGGAAACCAGGCACGACTGACAAAGGCCTAAAGTTGGGCCGCTGGTGCACATTCGAAGAAAAGTCGACGCTCCGTCTCGACGGCAACTGTGCAGCCCTCATACGGGCAACGCATAACGTCCGGAAGAGAACTTTGCAGGAAAGAAAACGCGACCTGACGGGCAACAGGCGAAACATCAGTCGAAATTGGAGGTCTTGCAGGACTGGTAGTAAGTTGGCAGAGCTTTCACGGTCAAAATCGACAATTATCGTCACCACATCGGGATCACTGGAGTCAACAATACTGGCGATAGAGTGAATACGCCGCCGTGGTAGAAAAGCTTCCTTAACAACAGCTTGCAAAGCTGCAGTTAAAAGATAGGGAGCTATATAAAGGTGGTTGCCTCACCAGGTTCCAACAGGGAAGTTGGTCGTCTTACAGCAACAGGAGCGCAAATAGTTTAAAGCCACGGTAGGACCATTACCAATTATATAAATTTGTGCCAATTCATGTTAAGAGCTCGCAGCCACTTGCGCTGGGGGGAGACGGAAAAAGTCATTCAGCCGGCTGAAGAAATCTGTCCTCAAAGTCGGCGAGTGAGGAAGTACAATTCAAATCATGCAGAAAATCGGCTAAACAGCGAAGGCCGACCCGTTCTGCAAGCAACAGTCGAAAGTGACTGGAACTTCCAACAATTTGGCCGATACCTCGCGGAAGAATACCCGAAGACACTTGAATGAAAATGTCAAGGGGAAACCAAATTGACCGGGACAATATATGTAAGTCCCTGATGGTCGGAGGCAAGTCCGCAATCATTACCGGCCACGAAGTAGCCAACCAAATTTTTCACAACGAACGCCACCAAAGAGGAAGTCATCGCAAATTAGCGAGAAACGGTGTCGATGAAGCAACATCTTAAAAGATCACATGGACGAAGGCTATGTCCAATTGGCAAGTCTCCATCAAGGAGAATGGCTGCAGGTGCAGACAGGTCCAGTGTAATTGATGTCGTCATCGACGTCATGTACTGTTGACTAATGGAAATGCGCTGTCGCCGAAGATGCACAGCCAGCTGAGGGATACACAGATCTCCGTGACTTGTAGAAAGGTAGATAAACTCACGCGAAACGAGGCGTATAATCGTATCTTCCGGATCAAAGCACAGATATAGCACGAATTTTTCCAGTAACCGCTTACAACGTCGGACAGTCGGCTCGGGCACTTCAAGATGTAGTGAAAAATACCACAAGGCCGAAAAAATCACGAAATTTGCAAGTGTCAACCGTCCAATAAAAGTACGAGCGCGATGTCGCCAAATCCTCAGCTGATATATAAGAAGTTTACCAAGCTCTGCGAGGTGCCGTGAAGTTACATCGCGTTGAGAACAAAAATCCAACAAACTCAACATCATCCTGCGGCTCGAGACCTTAAACACCAGCAATATGCATCGGCTCCCGTGAACGATTAAGCGTAAGAGCCCTACACTTGGAGAGATTGGGTAAGGCCCCCAAATCCGAACAGTAAATTTGGACAAACTGGGGCTGGTCTACAGCGACAGAAGGAGGACATGACAGTAAAATGAAGTCGTCTGTGAAATAAAGGCCAGTCGACCGCATGACAGGGTTGATGGGTATTCCAAGGTCTGGACGAGACCGCAACAGATTACCCAATGTCTCAATAAACAACAGGAACAGGAAAACGATAGGGGGTCACCTTGTTTAACACCCCGAGTGACCCCCACCGGAGCTAGCAGTTTGCCATTGATTAAAAGACGAACCTCAGGGTTTCGATACAACAATTTAACCCAGGAGCAAATATGGTGGCCGAAACCCATCCGAGATAGCACGCGAAACATGCAGGTCCAGTCCGCAAACTCATAAGCCTTTAAAAAATCTAGGAACACCGCTACACCGTCTTCATCTGTCTCTGACAGCAAGTGCTGCAAACCACTAAGAAAACGCACACGGTGATGAGGCGATCTTCCAGGTATAAAGCCCTTTTACTCGACGTGAATTAAATGCGGTATGAGCTGACAAGTACGACATATGAGCGATTTGGTCAGTAATTTGACGTCCACTTGCATCATCGATATTGGTCGATAATTACTGGGATCCGACCAACACCCCGATTTGTGAAGAAGAGTCACGGCTGCTTTGCTCTGTGAGGAAAGAAGGGTGCCACGCTGAAACTGATATTGAAAGACTATCGAAAGGATTGTTCCAAAGGTGTCCGGAGCAACTATGTAAAAGTCTTCCGAC